CCTCTGGGGCGGGGGGGGGTTGATCCGAGGGACGCCGAGGGAGTTGAGCGCGAATACGCTTGTTCTCGGTGCGTAGTGCTGCTAGGTCAGCTTCATTAGCGGTATGCATTGCTGCTAGGTCAGTTTCGTGCTTGGCACGCATACTTTGTAGATCGGCGGCGTGTTGTTGCCGCATCTGCTTGACCTGCTCTATCAGTCTTCTTAATGCTGCTTCACTATCCATGTTAGTTGTGTGATCTAGGTCGTCTGTTGCGCGTCTACTATGGCTTCTGGTGAAAACCATAAGCGTGGCCAATAAGAGCTGTCTTGATCGGCCCCATGGTGGGCGCCAAATGTTCTTACCGGGGATCTGAGGTAGAGTTGATCGCTGGGTAAGGTCGGTGAGCCTCCTTCGCTGGTACGCTTGATGTTCTAAGATGGGGGTGGTACCTGCAAAAGAGACTCCGATGCTAAAGTTAGGGTTTGTATGAGTATATGTCTCGTATAAGTAATGCACGTACCTTAGTGTGAATTAGGGTTGTGTCCGGCCTTGGGCTTGAGATCAGTTATGATCTGATTAGATAGCAGATCTCGTCTGGACCGAGATCTCCTAAGGTTAGTTATGATCTGGCTAGATAGCAGATCTTGTCTAGACCGAGATCTCCCAGCGCATGTCCGAGATCATTCTACGTTGTGATGCCGAGCTCGAGCTCGGCATGAAACTGGGCCTAGGCAAAATTTTGCATATTAGACTCATTTTGCTCCTAATTTTTCATAGATTTGATTTAGCTAGGTCTCATCATCATATGATGAACCTAACTAAACCAAATCAAATATTTTTGAAATAAATCATGGAGCATTTTTGAGCCTTGCCCGCCTAGCTCATTCCTTTTATTCTTGGCCAAAATTTCTAGCTTCTCTTACAAGCTTTGAATCTTTCCTTCCATGCTTCTAAACCTTAGTAGGTTTGGCTTACCTTACCATGGTTCTTAAGTGAACCATGGTCAAGGTTAGCTTCTCCTACAAGTTTTAGAAACCATGGATGGTTAGCTACACCTTACCATGGTTCCTAGTGAACCATGGTTAAGGTTAGCTTCCTCTACAAGCTACCTCTCCCTATATATTTCTAAATTGCTCATTGTACTTCACTTTTTGAGATATGAAATCAGAATTTGACTCAAATTCTCTCTTCTTAAAGTCCTAAATTTCGTGGAGAAACTTTCTCTCTAAGTTTCTCTCAAAGGTTTCCAACCTTTTAGCTTGTTCAACAAGCTTCATCACTCTTTCATGGAGTAA